AGAAAATATGTCTTGAACATTCACCTGTTTCGTTGTCTTAGTCTCTTCAACGCATTCTAAAAGCAATACGAGCAACGAGTGCCGCCTTGCTCTCTGTCTCGGTCTCTCTGCGCGTCTCTCTGTTTCTCTCTGTATCTAACTCTCTGTCTCTGTTTCTGCCTCTCTCACCCCCTCTCTCGCAGCCGGTCGCAGACGGAGCTGTTCATCACTATTCATGGGCGTGTGGAGAGGTGTTGTTTCCCCTTATCATTTTCATTTTGCATTCGCGTTTAAACGCCTTCAACGTGTGTCCGCCGTGCTTTTGCTTGTGCGCTGCTGTCTGGTCTGGCCTGGTCGGGCGCTTCCCTTCCCCTTCCCCTCCTCCGCGCTCCGCCCTCCTCAAGGCGCGGCCATTCCGGCCTGCAGTTCCCCCCTCCCCTCCCCTCCCGGACATCCTGTAGGACTTGTCATCGGCCCGCTGCACACTGTGATGGCGTCCAGACGGGGCTCAAGTGTGTTTGTGCCGGCGTTGGATGGGATGGGGGAGGCGAGGGGGAGGCGAGGCGAGCCAGGCGAGCGCACAAGGAGGAGGAAGGCTATAAAAAAAGCAAAAACGCTCTCCATTTTGTTTTGAGTACAGATCCGAGGGGAGAGGGGAAAGGGGAGAGCGGGGGCCGACCGAGGGGGGCTCTATCTAGGTGTTGGTCGTCCTGTCCAGTCAGTGCCCCCCTTCCCCCTGCCACGCCCCGCCGTTCCCGTATATCTCTCTCTTTCTGGCTCGTACGTGTCTGACTGCATGTCCAAGTGAATGACAGACCGCCCCTCCCCCGGCTCTGCCCCCTCTACAGCTCTGCTGCTTTTATCTGTCCAGGTGATCTCGTTTGGAGGCCTCTCGCCTAGGGCCCCTTCTCCTCTCGCGCGGCCCTCCAGTCCAGTGGCGCTCGTGACCTTCAGGCAGCGCCTGGCTCGCTGTCCTATGGCTTTGGCCGGCTTTGGCTATGGCGTTTTCCCACCCGGGAGCGTGATCAGCGACCCCACCCCCTCTCCCTCACTTTTACAATCAAACAAACTATGTTCAGATCTGCTCAAAAAGCTTCTCCTGATCGCTTCTCGAGCAGCCCACACCGCCCCGCCCTCCTCGATGCGCTCCAGAATGGGCCGACTGCTGCCGCCACCGCCGCCCGTCCGTTTCTCCCCGAAATGTGAAAAATGCTGATGAAATGGCTTCGATAAGGATTTAATTACCATGATGGCCCCCGCGGGCTGCGTCCGAAGGGGGAACCCTGTCCCAGCGGGTCTTCCACGACCACGCGGATGTCTCCGGAAGATTTCGGACGCGCGCGCCCTCCCCTCCGTAAGGTTAACAAGCCGTGCTGGAATCGATTCGCATTACCTTCCCTTGTAATCCTTATTTCTTTACTGCCCCTCCCCCAGTACCTTCTTCTCGCAGTGTACTTTTTCCATTTCGGGACGGCGGCACGGTACGGTTTTACTGTCCTGCCCGGGTGCAAGCAGCTCATGGCTGAGGTCCTCCTCCTCCGAGGCAGCAGCAGCCGCAGCAGCAGCCGCAGCAGCAGCCGCACCGCCGCGGCTACGGTACTCCGTGGCGCACCGCGAGCCGTACCCCTTCGAGCACACTCTCACTAATAGTTCATCTTGTTAAATTTCTAGAATCTTTTATGGGCTTTTAGAATGCTTTCGTCGAGCTGGTCGGAGTTTTATTTCTTTTATTTTTGGCGGGGGTTAGGTTTTCAAAAATTAAAAAATTCAATGATGAAGTGATGCGAGGAATCTTTGGCGGTGTGTTTGTGGCCTGGCTGCCGCACGCCCAGCGGACACCTGGCGGGGCGGGGCAGGGCGGCCAGGGTGCCCCTTGCGGTCCGCGCGCCGTGGCCTGTTGCGGTTTGCCTAGTGGGGAACCGCACGGCTAGACGCAGGAGCTGCTGCTGCTGCTGCTGGGGGCCTGGGGCTTGCTATGGGCCCCGCTGCTGGAGTCTGGCGGAGCTTGCGGCTGCTGCTGCTGCTGCTCTGGAGCTGGACAAGGGCAGCTTTGCGGCGTTGCCACCGGTTGCTGAC